CCCCACTTTTTCTTTCTCCCGTTGTCAAATATATTTTCCAAAAAAATTGTAAATTATTTGTAACCTTCATCATAATCTTGTTTTAATGTTTTTTTGTGTGTTTTTCTTGTATCAGACAACTGATGATGATGGCTAAGCCATCGAAAGCTGCTACTGAATTAAAAAATATTGTTGGCAATGACAACATCTTTAATTAACTGTGAGGTTGCCACGATATGATATCATAGGGAGTGAAAGGGGATGAACGCAATACAACCATGCCCTAGGCAAGACTCGAACCCGCGCTCCTTCTTTCCGAGATCACTACGGCACTACTGCCTTAGTGTTGACGGCCACTGTATGGATCAGCACAGAATTTCTTGTTACCTCTACTGCTCAAGTGTTTATATTAAACATCTTAAACGCATTATTTTACCATTTTCAATTGAGAGAAAACGGAACTGGCATTCAAATCACTATGACGTGCTATACGGCTTAAACTGAATTTAAATTTAAAACTGAATTTAAAATGCAATTGCTCAAGGGCCCCAGTAAAATACAAGGCGGGACGATGTCGGGGGCGGTACGGACCACCCCGATACCGTACCGTCACGACACCGTACTGCCCCTGCTTTCGTACCGTCCCCTCAATCATACCGTCCCTGCCATAAGTAAGTTAGTTTTGACAAACATAACAGATTCATGGAACATATTTTCATGCAATACTGATATTTATAACTACAACACACGTCGAAGAAATCACGTTCATCAAGTGTCAGTATCAACAGCTCACTACCAAAAATTCACATACAACGCATTGCTTTACAAAGTTAATTTACAACGCAACGTTACTTTACAACGCATTGCTAGATAATATTAAACAATTGAAGTCGGTACACACATTTAAGTTAAAAGTAATATATTTTCTAGAGGTAAGGGCGAGATAGTATTTTGTTATCAATACCGAAAATTCATACACACACACACACACACACACACACACACACACACACATATATATATATATATATATATATATATATATATATATAATATATATAATTTAAAGCTAGTTCAGATGTTGAAAAACAAAATGTATGTGAACTATCAAGGGTTTCAAATAAAAATAAAGTTAGATTTAGAATTATTTAGTCAAAAAAACAATAAAAACTGTTTGTGACGTATGGAGAAGAAGATCATCAGCGCACTTTTCTTGAGTTCCAGAATCCCTTCGCATAATTTTAAATATAAATAGTTGAAAGACGAGGAAAAGTTAAAGATAAATAAATAAAAATAAAATTTTAAAATCGCTAGATTAGCAACATTTGAAAAACTAGACATTTTCGTTCTTGAGTTATAGAAAACTTATTTGCAACGGTAAACGAACTGCAGATTTGATTTTTCTGTATTGCTAACAAAATACTATCTCGCCCTTATCTCTACTTCTACCACTAAAAGCAAAAGGAGAGTTCAACAAACCGTGCGCGTAGCTAAGCTACATTTACGGCCAGAAGCAAAACAAGGAGCTATCTCAGCATTTGCACAATGGATAAGGGAAAGTGGACAAAAACATGATCGAGATGGGGGCCATTCACCCGGAAGCTGAAATACATTATTAGTTACAAACATGTTAAGTCTTTTAAAAAATATACAATACAAATAAAAACTAATTTATTAAATATCACTGTTTTTCTAAAATAAACATTGTTTTTCTTTTTGATGAGCAATATAGTCTCTGATTATATAGAAAGAGTTATGCAGCAGAAAAGATATTACTTTTAACTTAAATGTGTGTACCGACTTCAATTGTTTAATATTATCTGGAAATGCGTAGTAAAGTAACGTTGCGTCGTAAATTCTTCCAGTCTTCTCTTCGGTTTCAGTGTAAGTATAAACAGACGGATCAAGTATTTTCAAATTCAGAGAACAATAGTTGTTATGAAATGCGCTCACTGCTTGCTGAACTCTCACACAATGTTCCAGAAAGTATCTTCTGAGTGATGGAATTTGAGAGCTTCTATATTTATGAGATATACAATACCTTGCCCTCCTTGTGATCTTTGAAGGTAAAATGCTCAATACTTCAATGGGGATGACGTTTTTGGTGTTGAGTCATAGCGGTTCGAATTGTCGTCTGGAGGTTGTCGAGTTCGATATTGCTCCATTTAATAACGCCAAAGGAGTATGTCAGCACTGGAATAACAAATGAATTGATGGCCTGCACAAGGTTTCTGGCTGAGAGTTGAGTTTTTAAAGAGTCCATGCAATCGTTTACACACTTCAGTTTAGTATGTTCTTAGTAACAGTGTGTTTGATTAGGAGTGACTGTTGGGAACCTAAGTATTTCTAAGCTTCATGGGGTTCCGTGAAGGTAATCTTTGGTTCATTATCATTTTCTAAATGAATAACTTGCATATGACCCCTAATGATATTCACTCTTCTGCACTTATCCAAGCCGAATTTCATCTTAATGTCGTCAGTGAACTTCTCCGTCTTATTAGTTACCGCATATGACTCTCAGTGTCTGCATAGAGCTTCAGGTCATCCATGTAAAGATGCGAGATACGAAGAAAGGTTGAGTTCCCTTTTTTAAGAGCGATCCTATAAATAAATGCATTTAGTAGAGTAGACAGGATTTAAGGCTAAGTAGGTTATTAAATATTATTATTATTATTATTATTATTATTATTATTATTATTATTATTATTATTAACGTTCATTTATTAATATGAATTAATATTATTATTGTTATTATTTTCTCCGTGATAGAGTTAATGTTGCGTCTCACATACGAATCTCGCCGAAACTAACAGCTAACGCACGTTACTAGGGCACGCTCTACCAAACCCATGGTGGAATGACACAATGTCCAAAACCACTAGGAAATGAGCGAATCGACATTTTTGACAGGAATCTACGTATACTAGACTTCAGAGGCAGATACGAAACACGCTCCGACACTTCGAAAGCAAGCCAGCCAGGGCGATCGATACAATAGAATGCATTATGTCCGGCTCTAATGAAATACTTCAGATATGAAGTTTTCATTAAAAATGGTAGAATTCCATCTTCCTTAATTGAATCGTTTATTTCAGAAACACGTCAAACGCCAAATTCATCATTTCGAGAAAACTAAGAATAAGACTCAATTTTTCAGATTTCAAACTATTTTTTATTAAATGAGTAGATACATGATTTTTTTATACAAATATGCCTTAAACGATGTGTCTACTCTCCTGGAACATTAATCCGTCGCCAAAGTGTCTATTGTGTTTTGGCGTTTGACTTTTTCTTCGACTCCTCACATAACAAAATACAAGCCTTTTTGAAAACTCTAAGGAAAATTATTTTTTCAAATGTTCCTGTTTTAAATTAACTTTTGATTGCACAACACAGACAACCCATTTGAGTTATATAACTGAAAAAATAAATTCAAATATCAATACCTCTATTACGTAAGTACCAGCATTAAATTTTGAGGACAAGTATTCCATACATATTACTAATTTTCATCGCGCCCAGGAATTGAAGGACAACTGAGCAGCCTCGTCAATGTGGGAAGTGTCTGATTTGGTTAGATAACCAGAAACTCGGGCAAAATACAAAAACAAAGAATCAGTTTCGATTTTGGCCGAAAACTGCAAATATTTAAGTATGTTACTTCTACACCGCTCGTAGAGATAGAATTCTGATAGTACGGCACAGCTGATGTCATGCGACAGCAAATCTCCAAGGTAAAGGCCGCCCACCATTAAATAATATTTATGAAATATTATATTTAAATAACTATTTAATGTTTGTAACTAACTTTGTATACAAGTATCTATAAGTATTTACTAAATATTACATATTAAACATTTATTAAATAATATTTAATAAATATTAAATATTATTTACTACTTACCAGTAGTGTTATGAAGCAGCGAAGTTCTCTTGCAGGAGCAGAATTCTTGGCATGTCGAGAAGTTGTAGTCTATATACACAATACTATACTGATACGTTATTGCAGTACTGGTGAAGACTGTTTTTGTTAAAATATATAATATTAATATTGCTGTGTTGTACGTATTTGGTGTACAATAATTAACAATTTTGAAATTAGGAACAATTCACAAACCATTATGAGAAAATATTTAGAGAACACTTCAATTAAGATGCTCGTCTACCTGAGGTTTAATATTTTTATTTGTGGTAAATATCTGAATTTAAACATGCTTACTTGTCGGATTACGTATTAAAAAAGCAAAAATATGTTTTTTTTAGTTATATTAATTATTTAAACCGTTATGCCCGTTCTTGTTCCAAGAACAAGATACGACTTGTGACCTCGTACCTCATGAAACGTTATATATACATTTTATTATTTTTTAAGATTGTTATTTGGATTATACTTCAGTGCCTAAATCTAAATTTGACTTGTACGTACTTTACAAGGACTAGAACTAAAACTTTTAAAAATCACTTGTAAAGATTCTTTGTAATAATAATTGCTAATACGAATTTTCTATAACAATTTGAAGTTTGGGCTGAAGAATTGACTTTCGGCTATTAAATAAAGAACAAATCATAAAGATATCTTCAAAATTAGAAGAGTTATCTTTCAAGTTCCCCAAAGAATAATAAATAAATTGAGGAAGAGTCAGATTAAGATTCATTAGCTCTAAAATAGCCGTTTGTGAACCTAGTAGTCCAGTCGGTAGGTAGTGAAAAAAAGAGAGGACTCGGAAAAGTTTTTTTTAATTTATTTTATTTAAAGTGGCATTGACGACATGGTTATTAGCGACTTTAACTATACATGATATACTATAATCAATTCAGGATGTAATTAAAAAAGTGAACACACAATTGAATGGGTGAAGGAGAACGGTATAAGTAGCATTTTATAAATTCTGAGAAATCTGTTCATTTAAGTCAACCTCACTGTAACGTCGGGGTGCTTTGTTTCGTCATTAAAACCACGACATTTCAATTTTTCATTAGAAAGCGAAAAATACATTGCCACTGTCATGTAGCCTAAAATTAACACTTTTTTCTCAGAATTCGTAAAATAAGACTTCCACCGTTCTGTTTTTCACCCATTCAGTTTAAAAAATATTAGAACAGTAATTATAATTGACAGTCAGGCTTAGTATTTTAGATAATTTAAAAAAATGTTTCCTGAAAAACACGAGTATAAACTTGTTTCAAGATTGTCAGTCTGTAGGATTGGTTGGCGTTCATGAATATATTTGGAATAAGATTTTAAAATAATACAAGGTGTTTTCGTTCTACCTTTTCCAATTTGAATACCACAAAAGCAATCTTTCCATTGTCACATCGAATTATTCATTAAACTTAATGCTGCACATTCTACTACGGATGATCCAAACATGTATGCTTGAAGTGCAATGCTTGATAAAATTGTCATAGAATGTTCTTTTCTTGAACAGTGGAATCGACGTTGCGTCTTGTCTTAAGGAAGTCCTTTTTAACTGATAAATACCAGTATTTTTCCGTTTAAATATATTATTTCGATTTTTCTAATTGGCTTCTCCATGTAAGTTAAGTGTAACGCCTACAAATTTTAATATACTCACTCTAGTTTTATTTTCGATTTAGACTTCAGATCTTAGTTTTCTTCACAATTTTATCAGTGTACTTTTTGAAGAGGTTACCATATTACAGGATTTGCAGGACATCTGGAGTCAATCTTAACTATTAGATATTGACTTGCACATCTACGAATAGCAGCGTCATTGATTAAACAAAATTCCTAAAATAAAATTATTTTAGAGACTCGAATTCAATTATCTAAAAAGTATCCATTTCGGTTTGTGGTGAAATTGTGCAGCATTATTGAGCTCTGATTAACGTCCTTTATTTTGTAAATTTTAATGGTCATATTTTATTTCTCGATGTACTCTCACACCCCTCTTCCTTGTAGAATCCCTTAAGATTGCTGCTTACTTTGTCAAACTTTCGGATGTATGTACTTCTATTGAAATTCTTTAAAAATAATTACTGAAGTATATAGTGTCAGTAAAACTTCACATTCTTCTGTCTCCTTGTTTTGATGACAATAACCTTCCATTGTGAGTTTCCATCGAAGCTATTTTTTCATGTATTTTGGAAGTTGTACAGTAGAGGTGCTTCTATAATTTGCAGTTTCATCTATATTATTCTTTAAATGTGCGCTTCAGGACAGATTCAAATCTTCTGGTACCTACTTCTGAAGTGTACAGATTGTATGAACGAAGTAGTATAACAATCTGTTTTAAATTTTAGATAACCGCTCGAGAATTGATATTGTTTAAAGATTCTTAATTTTAAGAACATGAATCAGTCATTTAATGGGGATTAGTTTGTGTTCGGTTCATCTAAGTCTTCTTCTTAATACTCAACTTTCCTTAATATTATTTAACATTACTTTGATGTTTCAAGTGTGGAAACTTGCATATCACATTCTCTTGAAGAAATTTCCTCCATTCCTCTTCATGTAATTTACTTTCTTTACTTGAAATATTTTTTTATATTAAAAAATTCTGATTTTACTTGATTTTAATCACTTTCAGATTCCAGCGGATGGATTCAGCAGCTCGAAGGATCTCTTAACCAATTCAGTTTCTTCAATGAATACTCCTTCAGGTTTCTCCCGCCTAAAAGGAATGTGGTATCTGCTGAGCTTCCCCTTATCTCTTCATCCCAACAAGGTTCCTCCTATCTTAAAGGGAGCAGCTGGCCGCTGACCTATCCCTCGACTACCCATCCCAAATGCATAATTTCATTACCACCAGGAAATTCCGTTGCTTAAAACTGGAAGGCTACCAATCCCAAGATAAGGTACTTGTCTACTTAAGTTTTAAATTTTTTTATAGCATACATTTTAACTTAAACATATACTCTTAGAATTAGGTATTAACGTCTAAGATGTTATAAAATTTTAATATTTTTTATCCAACATGCCTTTTTTATAAAAAAAGAGTTGTAATTCAGTCTCATCTTGTGACCCGTTAAACAATTTTTTGTTGATAAGTCTTTAAAATTTTTAAATTATTACTTTCGTATGTGAATCTTAATATAAATATTAATAAGGCGACTTTTGAACTTTACAGGAATTTGGATTATAACTTAAAAAAATACGGGTAACAATATCGAATAAGGAGGAATTTATTATTGATAATATTTCATTTCCTACAACTTTCAGATTTAAGCATAAGAATAAACTTTATCTATTGAATAAAAAACTAATATTACATATAAAGTCGGGTCAAACAAAAGAAAAAGAAAGTAAAGGAAAAGCCAGATTTAAGGTTCATCGCTATAAAATGTCAGAGGATGATGGGTTACATTAACTTTTTCAGTCTTATTTAAGCTTTCTCCGATCTTTGAAGGATTTCCGCCTGCTTTGACTCTGTGTGATCTATTTTTACCTATTTAAGGTTTCCTGTCATAAGTCACGCTTCGCAACACGTTTGAACAAGGTTTGACGCACATCCTTTAAAATATTGGAAGTGGTACGGGCGCGCGCACTTAACAAACCTTTTTAAGCATTGAGAACTATAAATAGCAATGTACAACTGACAATTTAAAAAAAAACTATTTCTCGGAAAAACGTTATGACGTAGACGGGTACCTCATTTACTTTAAAGATCAGTCGTCTTATAGGGGCAGGGGTAGAGGGAGTCAAAACTTCATCGCAGACAAGGCAAAACTGAAAAACAACTCTATGTTGGGAAGCGAAAATGAAACGCCTCACCTCTCTTCTATACTTCCGAATCTTCTTCTAAAAATAAATTAATACAAATATACTACTAGGTAAAAAGTTGCATTCAATTTAAGTCTTACATTGGACTTACTATACGTAGATTATTTTTTTATATTTGAATTATATTTCAAAAGCATGGCAGTTTCAAAAATACTTGTTCTAAATAACTATAACAATACTTAAAAAACCCACAGAAATTTTAAAAATCTTTATCGAAATTCAAATATAACTTTACAAACTTAATAAATGAAGCATACTTCTTTCTAAAGATGTTAGTCAGCATATCGAATGAGGGGGTCGGTGAAGGTAGAGTAGAGTATTTGGCCTTTAGTTAAAAACGACAGTACAGTGCATTTAAAGACAAGGAAATAAAATAATTTACTTACGGTAAAGTTAAAAGTATCAGGGGTAAAGATAAAGGATATTCTAAATTTTCTTTTAATTCGGATGCCAGACGGAATAATCCTACTCGCATCAAAATATTTGAATGTACAATGAAGTAGGATTGAACTGTTTCAGTAAATTGTCTACGATGTGGTGAAGTTTCTCGATCATTTAAGTTCGCCATTTAAGTTTTTGCAAAAACCCAAAATATTACTAAGAGAATTTTATGACTTGTGACATAGTATGAGGCTTATCAGATATCACTATCACCGAGGAGAGGTCATTCGGGAAATAGTAAGTTTAGTTATTACAAATGTTAAATTTCTTTTAAGCAAATTACGAAAACAGAATTAATAATGGAGAGTGAAATGTGAAAGGTTGCAGACTAATTTCGCTAGAAAGATCTTTCAATTCTTCAGGAGAATCCCGAGAAATGATTTCATTGGTATTTAATATTGCACCACTATTTTATAGATTTGCATCATTGACTACCAGAAACTATCATAAAAATATAAAGATATTTGTAATATGGAGTTATTTAATCTTTTATTTGGAAAAGGAAATTAGCAATATCAAAAATTGTGTATAACACGCCAGGCAATAACTTGAAAACGTTACACACTCGTGTAGTAAAATTATAAGCATGAAAATGTTAAATCATTTTAAAACGGAGAGAATACATTCCTTTTCAAGATAAATTAAAAAAGGAACGAAATATTCAAGAGATCAGTTAACTGAAACGTTAGAAACAATCTGATCTAAATTCTGATAAGCACATCAAAAGGGAATAACTTTCGATGCAAATTTGTGTTTATTTTAAAATTTCTCGTATGCTACGGTTTCATTTGAAAACCAAACAATCCCGAGAATCTTTTAGACGTTCAGATCGAATAAGGTTCTTGCAACATAGCTTTTTAATTCTATTCTGATATACATAGATTACAAGTTGAGAAATCGTGGCCGACGATTAAGCAAACATAAGTCTGCGAGAGCAACTTGGCAGCCCTGTAGGTCGTTACAACCCAGAACCTGCAATCAAAGAAAATAATTCGCATAAATTTCTTTACTTCATTTAATTTTTAATAATTGTCAGTTCTGATTGAATTAACCCCTTTTCAGAATTAAGTTTCTTTTAAGAGTCTTCTGTTCCGTCTTCAGTACGCCATCTTAATCTTGGACGGCCGACGTCTCTTTTACCATGAGGCCAATAGTGCTTCTTTTTTATTTTGGATGCGGTCAGTACTCATTCTATCTAGATGTTGGTACAATTTAGTCCTGTATTCTTGTATT